GTTTCTCACAGTATTTAAAAAAGAAGCAAAACAAAATGCCCAAAATAGGTTTTGGCATGTAAATAATTTCTATATATATATACATACAAGCTGTTTTCCTTTTTACTGTTGCAGGGCAGTTGATAAATGATGGGTACAAGCTCCATATTGTTTTACTTTAATCTGTATGGGTTTCAGACTTCTTTGTATCCGGATACAGTTTAAAAGGAGATGGCAAACACTGGTATATAAACCGTGGGGCATGGAAACAATGGGTCCTTTTACTTAGAGCCACAAAAAACCATTGTTATCCATTATAAAGGCCCTTGAAAGGATTTTTTTCAACTAAAGTAATAAAATCAATAAAAAGCATAACGTAGTAGAAATTGAATGTGGCGGAAATATATACAGTTTGGAGCCAGAATATGCGCCAAGGTAAATTTGAAAATGTTAAGCTCAAAAAGTTTCATATTGTAAGCTCTTTGGTACTAAACTCATCAGCCCTTTAAATTATAGAGTGTTTAAAATGAAGCAATGGTGTTGTTTAATTTGTAATTAAAGAAAGGCACAGTGATATGACTGTTCTGGGTGTTGATTTTCTTGAGGGTTTATTTTTCTTGTACAATTGCCAATTTTTTTTAATGCCCGTCTCCTTTGTAATAGCCAGTGGTGGCTGTTTTTTTCTGGTTTCACAGCTGTGAAGCCTGTGACCACACAGGATTCCTGGGGCCATTGGTCTTATCCAATATTTGATAGCTGAACCACACTGGAGGAGAAGGTCACTCGCCAAGTGAATCGCATACTGTGCTTGCAAGTGTCCCGGAGGCCAAAGTGGTCACCATGTCTTTGGGCCCACTGATTTACACCTTACTCTTGGTGTATTGTCGGTCGTCCTAGTCGTTGGTGAGTAGCTTTACCAGTTGAGACACTCAAGAGGCCCCTGCTTGAGGAATTCTGCAGTACAAAATATTGTAGTATATTACATCTGTATGCTATATTTTTCTTATAGCAAACAGCAAATACATGTCCATCCATTGTCTAATGGGCTTATCCCATCAAGGTTGCAGGGGAGCTGGCTATTCTGGCAAGTAACAGGCAGAAGACAGGATAGATCCGGGGAGGGATGCCAGTCCATCGCAGGGCCACACACAGACAACCTCACAAACTCACTCCAGGGCCAGTTTTCCCAGATGCCAGTTAACCTGCCGGTATGTCTTTGAACTGTGGGAGGAACTGGAGCACCCAGACGAAACCCACGTGAGGAGAACATTTGAACTCCACGTAGACAGCACCCAAGGAACTGAACCCATGTCTCCAGCGCTGCGAGGCAGCAGTGCTAACCACTGCGCCACACACAAAAACACTTTTGAGATCCAGTTAAGCCGATACTACCCGTCTGATCGCTCTAAAACAGGCAATTTAACATGTTACAGCATCACTGTTTGCAATAATGCTCATACAGTCCTTTCTAAAAAGCCTAGTACTATTTTTAAAGATTGTAGAGCTTGCAGACTCTGAGGTCAGGCTATGTTTAGAGAGATCAGACTCTGATCAGTGTTTTTTAAGCTGCATCTCAGACAACACCACAATCTCTTCTACTTTTTCTAATGTAGATGCATAATCTGAATCATAGACTAACATTTTGTTGTTTTGTCATTAGCCTTTTTGACAAACATCTTACCAGGACAGTTACAGAACAGGCTGCCCAATAATTATAAACATTTATATTTACTTAGCAGTCCTAGCATCTGTAACTTGTGAAGATCTGCAAGCAAGCCTACACATTGCTTTCCTCTCTAGTAATTTTGGTTTTTGAACTTTGTATGTTTAAGTAGATGCGTAATTTGCATTGCTACTATGCAGTTATGATTTATTTTTTCAAATCATGATACAAGTAAGGTTTATTGATATGCAGTGTATTGTAGGGATGACAAACCATGAGCTTGAATATACATAGTGATTTTGCTTCATGACCGCTTTGTCTCCCTTTTGCACATTAGTGCTGCACACAGTATGTTGGCAATGAAGCCCTGCCTTCATATCCTTTTATTGTAGATAGCTGGTCTTGCAAACAAGTGCTTCAGAGCCTGTTGTCCCTGCAGATTTCAAATGCACACAAGTGTAGAAATCCAAAGGTACTACTACAAAAACAATTATTTGCAGTAGAATATGTCGGGGTTTTTTTTATTTATTTTGGATTCAAAGAATCAAAACTGACTGGTCTGGTATTTCTAAATAGAGGCCTTGGTATGGATTGATATAAATCCATTGCTTCTGGAAAGACATTTAAACCATGTGCTCAGTCATTAGGTTTCTGCTGTCACCGCTGAAGCACTTTTAAAAGGGCTGCTTAATTTATTTATTTATTTTTTAGCGAGTCAAGTTATTTTAAAACAGCCAACCAGTTTCAAAACAGACAGTTAAGATTGCCTCCCCCCTCCCCAGTTGGGAGGACTTAGCCAGGACACGCTGAAACTATTTTATCGCACGTGAGGGTCACCTCCAGATGCTTGCCGTTCTGAATCCTAGCGTGTGTCCAGCCGAACCGGCGCTCCATGACCTTTACTTGGGAATCGGCTCAGTGAGGGGAGGCTGTGGTTTGCAGGGAGAAATATCTGCGCTCCGCCTTCGGGAGCACTAAAATCAGAACAGCTTTGCTCCTGGGCCGTCGGCCAAAAATTAGCGATGCATTGTGACGGAGAGTCAAGCCAGCGACATCCCAATTCCAGCCTTGACACTGCATCTCGCACACAATGCATCATTTCAGCAGGAAGAGCTTCTGAGAGCCCATTGTGTTGCTGCAGACTTATTGTGCAGGAAGCATTGCCATACAAAATAATGCTGGACAAGTCATAATCCCTGGCACGCTGTTGTGCTCTGGTTATTAATGGATGGTCAATCATAACTGCATTATTAAGATGCTCTTTGTGGTCCCATGGAATGACTGCTATAACTTTTTCATTAACAGTACAAATTAATTGGCAATGAATGTTGTATAATCTGTCTAAATTTCCTGCCAACATGTGTAAAGTGGATTAGTTTTAAGAGTGCTAAGGTTTTTTTTAATATGAATGGTTCATCCTGGATTAAAGTGAATTTTGCATTTCTTTTTTTATGAAGTACTGTTGGCGGCACTGTGGCTCTGTGGTCAGTCTTGCTGCCTCATAGTTCTTGGGCCCAAGGCTCAATAATGGACGTGGGGTACTATCTGTGTGGAGTTTGTGTGTTCTCCCCTTGTTGGCATGGGTTTCCTCCTGGTGCTCCAGTTTCCTCCCGCAGTCCAAACGCATACTAGCAGGTTAATTGGCTTCTGGCAGAAGTGCCCTTGGAGTGCGTGTCCTGTGATGGACTGGCATCCCCTCCAGGGTGTATCCTGTCTTGTACCTGCTGCTCTCCAGAAGAAGCTCCAGCTCTCCTGCAACCCTGAATTAGATTACGTGGTTAAAAAATGGATAGATGGTATACTGTGTTGTGGTTCAATAGTTTTCTCTCAAGAATTCTGCTTCCTTCATAGATGAAAATGATGCTCATTCTTTGGTCTGGAGAATTCCGGTTTTGAAGGGTGCTTAAACCTTTTAACGGCAGATTACCTATCGGTGGTCATTAATAAGAAATATAAACTGTCAAAAGCACATGTAGACAGAACACCAGACTAAACCCAAGGCTTTTCAGGAGACCATTTCTAATAATGTGGCTGTAAGTCTTTGCAGAAGAATACTGCTGTATTCCTGTATGGGATTTGGACAGTTGTGGGATGAGGTACCTTTACAAAAAGCAGGATTTTAAAGAAACATTGTGGGTAAAAGACAGACCAGAAAGTACAGATGTATTCGGATTTTATCACAAATCAAAAAAAAATTGGGAAGGGCAGGATAAACATGTTCTGCAGAGAGCAGTGACAAAAGCACTTACTTCTACTTTTAACATTTTCTGATGTTTGCTTTCATATCCCATCTGTATATCGCAAGCTTTGCAGGGTACATCCATGTGCATATTTGTCTTTTTGGGCTCGTACAGTATGTGGGTAGAAAAAAAACCCACAAAGCAGTTCCAAATGCGCTGCCTACCTTGCCAATCATGGGGAAAATAGCCTAATATTTTAAACGATAAATATCTTTTTATATTTGAGTGATGGAAGCTAGTGCACTCCTGAGGCACTACCTGTTGGTAAATCTTAAGATTTGTACTCTTTTAGTTATTAAAAAATAAATGATGTATGATATTATAATACTCTGCTGTTCTACTGGCATTTTAATGGGGCTGCAGAAAATTATCATAAATAATTTTAATAAAAAGCAGAGTCAATTACAAATAGGCCACCTCATAAATATTTTTAAATAAGAAATGAAGAAATCTTGGTGGTGACTATGGCAAGCTCTCAGGCTTCTTTGACGGATAATGTATTCCTTAGCTCGTAGTTACTAATGTTTACAATGGCAAAACAGTTCATTAGGAGCTGGAGGGAAATTGCCACTGGGTTTCCAATCTACTTCGCCGCTAAACAGTGGGGAAAAAATGGACAAACTCGGCATTAGTTATTAAGTTGGTAAAAAGCAAAGCAATGTGGGGTGTGACCTCATCTAAAAAAAGCTGTGGTTTAAAGTAAACCTCCATTTTATTTCTATAGCTAACAAATAAAAGTCAATACAGAAAACATCCTGGAAATAAAATAATGATTTGAGCCTTTTTCAAAAAGACTGTTTAGCATCAAATTAACTGATCAGTTTTGTAGCAGTAGTGGTTTGCTTTTCCTTCTTTTTTTAAAAGAGCTTTATAAACTAACTGTAGTTGGGTTTCATTTCTGGGCCCCTAGCAAGTTTTTACTAACTAGACCCAAATTTTACAATTAAATTGTAATCGCTTTCTAAACTTTGCTTCACTTAAAACTATTTCACCCATCAATGTACTAAAAATATACAAGCTTTTCATATAATGCTTTTAAGGACAGTTTTCAGACTCTTGTGTTTTAGTTAAGGATGATTGTGAAGGTAAAATAGCATTCTTCCCTTGTTTTTGAACAGATTAATGAACTGAGCCACGTTCAGATCCCAGTTATGCTGATGCCTGATGACTTCAAAGCCTATTCTAAGATAAAGGTGGACAATCATCTTTTCAACAAGTAAGTCATATTATTTTCTCTTTTTACAGGGTTTGATTTTCTTTGGAGAGTTGAAAGTGGTTGCTTTTTGTAGTGCTCAAGCTCGTCTCATTGCTCCAGATACACCAGTTTAAAGTGACAAAGGGCTTTTTTATGTTATGTGCATCTTTGTGGCATGTTAAGTTTAGAATTGATCTGTACAGGTAGCTGGAATATTGTAAACAAGAGGGAAACAGTCATTGTAATTGTAACTGTGGCTAGCAGCCATATCATCCTGTAACTGGCAAACAACTGAAGTTCAGCAGGTATGAGCCTGGTTAGTACCTGGAGGGGAGACCTCCTGAGAGAAACTAAGGTTGCTGCTGGTAGTGATGTTAGTGGGACCAGTAGAGGGTCCTCACTCTGCAGTCTATGTGGGTTCTAATGCCCCAACTATAGTGACGGGGATGCTATACTGTAAAAAGGCACAGTCCTTCAGATGAGATGTAAAACCAAGGTCCTGACTCTCTGTGATCATTAAAGATCCCAGGGTGTTTCTCGAAAGGAGTAGGGGTGTCACCCCGGTGTCCTGGCCAAATTTCCCATTGGCCTTTACCAATGATGGCCTCCTAATAATCCCCACATATGAAATGGCTTCATTACTCTGTTCTCACTCTGTGTGGTGAGCATACTAGTGCACTATTGCTGCCGTCACATCATCCAACCGGGTGCTGTACATTGGTAGTGGTAGAGGGAATCCCCATTACCTGTGAAGTGCTTTGAGTGGAGTATCCAGAAAAGTACTATATAAATGTAAGCTATTATTATTATTATTAATAAACTGTATTTAAATCAATCCAAAATATTGTTTTGCATTTTGTTTTTTTTGTTTTGCTGTCCATTTTCTGCACTTCTGTCATATACAGTATGACAGTCATGAGAAGCTGGTCATTGAGCTGGCTTGACTCTCACATTCCCCTCCTGCAGTGCTTAAGTTCTTGCTCTGGCCACTCTTTAGTATGAATAAAGACTCCTCGTCCATTCCTGCCTGGAACACCTGATTGAGCCTAGAACCCAGGACACGTGGTTTTCCTGAACACTCTTTGTTGATCTGCCCTGAAGTTCCTCTGAGGCCCTGGAGAGAGGTGACCTGTAAAGAACTGGTGCATGTTGAACCCACTGTGTTGTATAAGCTGTGCAAACCATTGGCAAAACTGATTAAATCCTACACTTATACAACTATTGCTTGAGGCTCAGTGAAGGAGTTACTTTGAAATTAAAAATGAATGTGGAGTAGTTTTAGGCAGGAATCAGCAGCAATATTCCAAACAGGAATGGCTGTTGTTTAAAACCGTTTTGCAGGCAAAGAAGCGACACACCCCTCCCCCCCCTCGTGATTTTTTTTTTGGGCTTTCCTTGCATTTTGCTTTCCTTGCACACGGAAAACATCACGCAAGAACAACCAGCTTAATTCGAGGGTTTTTCCATTGGCAACCAGCTACTGCATAAAATACTTCGGCGTTAAGATCCTTCACCATGATCACTGGCAACTCCTGACATTGTGGTTTCTCGTTCTAAATTAAACTCAAATCAGATTCTAGATTATAACAAAATTGATTTTGTAGATGTTTTGTATAACAGACATCTTAGAACATTTCCCTTTATATTTTCACTTAAAATCAATGCTTTCCCACAAAAGGGATGCATATTCCTGTCTTTAGGGATTAGAACTACATCTAGAAGTAAAAGGACCACAATAACAGTTAAAATAAAGGTTTGTGAAACAGATCAGTAAACTGTTTTTTTTTTGGCTTATCATTCTTTAAATTACATAGATACATTCCTGTGAAGATGCTCATTCATTCAAAAATGTTTTATGTCTGAATAAAATTTTGTACAATACCTTTTCATGCCCTTTTTTGGTCTAAAGCACCTGTCTGCCTGTTTTTGTGACACCATCATTTAAATTCAGTACATGAAAAGTTGAGAAGTATTTTTTGGGCTGAATTTGTGAGGTGGATAACTGTTAAACTGCAGTTCTTGTGGTTCTCTAAAACAGTTGAATTAATACAAATATAAAGTTGAATTAATTGACCACAGTAAATGACTTGCGTTTACCTTCCCTGCCCCTTCCACACATCTTTATTAACAGCTAAACTCACAAATAATGTAATGATTAAGAAATGTGCCCGAAATAAAATTTGAAAGTATTGATCTAGATATAATGCTCAATTGGAATGTGACAGTCCTGCCTTGTGCCCATTGCTTGTTGGGATGGGCTCTAGCACTCCTGCGACCTTGTTTTGGATAAATTGGATAGAAAATGGATGGATGGAATTTAACAGTAAAACCTGTCACCTAAATGAGCCTTATGCTGCTGATCTGAGGCACCTGTCCCAAATCATTCTGTTCTTTTTCATGTTGTTTGACACAAATCATGAGTGTCAACTTGCCACTTCTTGTTTGTGTTACTTTGGTTTCTTGGAGTGTACCTAGAGTGCAACTGACAAGGATATTTAAAGCCTCTGTTTAACAGCAGCTGATAATATCAAATTAACACTTTCTTCCTATGGCCAAAAAAACAGCTTTGGCTTGGAATATGAACAGAGTTCATGGACACCTCTCTTACATTTCTGAAAATGTTCAATTGCTAATGAAGTAGAAAAAATAGATTGGCTGAAGAAATGCCATTTTTTCCAGGTGGAAGAGGAAGTTATTTTGTTGAATTGCAAAGCCAAGTAATTCTGATTTTTCTTATGTTTTGCTGTAGGGTATATTTCTGCAAGATCTGAATCTTGTACAGGGACACCCAAAGGGAACAGTTTGTTGTCATATGTCCCCAAGTACCATGAAATGCTTACTTGCGTGTTTTCTCACATGACAAATGACACAACAGTAGACGTAGCAAATGACTTAATAAATTACATTACAATTTGTTGGAGACGGGGACATCTTAAGCTGCATTCTGATAGAGGTGGTGTGCAAAAAAAGCGGCAGTATTTTGAGTTGGGGTATAAATCGGAGTAGGAGGATAGCTCAGGTGAGCTCTGTGGAGATACTCGGATAAGAAGGGACAGGAAGATAATTCCTTACACTTCTATAGTGCTTTTCTGGACACTCCACTCAAAGTGCTTTACAGGTAATGGGGTCTCCCCTCACCGGGATGATGTGACGGCAGCCGTAGTGCTTGAGTACACTCGGAACACATCAGCTATCAGCGGCGAGAAGAACAGAACGATAATTTCCAATTCATAGATGGGGATTATTAGGAGGTCGGAATTGGTAAAGGCAACGGGGACATGTGGCCAGGATTCCGGGGTAATTATTTTCAACTATAATACCCTGGGATTTTTAAAGACCACTGAGACTCGGGACCTTGTTTTACATCTTATCTGGAAGACGGTGCCTTTTTACAGTATAGTGTCCCCGTCACAATATTGAGGCATTAGGACCACACACCACAGGACAAACGCCCCCTACTGGTCCCACTAACACCACTTCCAGCAGCAACCTTAGTTTTCCCAGGAGGTCTCCCATCCAGGTACTGAAGAGGCTCCCACTCACAGTGGGTTACATGGTGATGTGGCTGGTGCCCAAAGCTCTGTTGGGATGCTCAGGTTGGAGATGGTCAGGTTGAGAGCTGTAGTCCATGTGCCTTGTCCATGTGTGTGGATTGCCTGGTGGCTGAGAATTTCAGATCTGCATGATTGGTAAGAACTACATCTCTCCTTCGATTGATGCCAAACCCCCAGCACTTTGGGACTAGCGACATGAAGAGCTTTAAAGCGCTATAGCAAAAAGATGAGAGAAATATGCATTACTCCCCTCCACTTTTTGGAAAACCATCTAAAATGGGAACCAAAGAGAATGACAAAGAGTTGATTATTGTTTTGCAGTCATACGGGAGGAAAAGGTCATCCACTAATCTATGGTCTTTCAGGAATTGTCCGTTTCTAAACAGTAATTTAACTGCATGTGTGATGAACATGTGCCTCTGTGTGGACTCTGCTTGTCAACAGGACATCTGTTTATTAGACCTCCTTCTGCTGTGTTTACAGAGAAAATATGCCAAGCCATTTCAAGTTCAAGGAATATTGCCCAATGGTCTTCCGCAATCTCAGAGAAAGGTTTGCCATTGATGACCAAGACTTCCAGGTATGTGAACGTTTTTGATACAGTGAGTCTGGACTTCATGTTGTACAGTAAAAGTTTCCTGCCTCTGTGTTGTGTGTTTCCCCTTTATAAAATGAGTCTTTAACTGCAAGAATCTGTCACTGTCTTTCCTGAAAGGAAGAGCGGCTTTGCTGAGAGGTTTTAGGTTTGTGCCAATTTTAATTGAAAAGGCTGTTTTTGTACAGGAAAGCAGCTGTTTGACCCTCGGTTGGTTTGGCTGTATTGTAATCAAGAACTTCACAAACGGTTGGTAAAATTTGACAAAATGGCTGTGTAGTTTTCTGCCTTCATGGTCCAATTTTTCTCATTCTGCTTCTAATGATCCTGATGTTTTAGCATTTTATGCTTTTATGGTTGTAGTACTGAAAGAAGCATTTATTTCAGGTTGGGTTGCAGTATGTTTTCCTGTATTTTTCAACCCTTTTCTCTCTCTTCTTCCCGGAGTGAAAAATATACCTGAAAGGACCTAACTTTCTTTTTTTATATATTTGTGCGTTCAACTAAGCAACAATCTCAACTTGGTTTGGTAAGAATAAACATCAAACACTGTAAAAACCATAAATGATCAGAGAAGGAAATCAGTCATAATGCATAAAATAGTAAAAAAGGGAATGTATACGTGAATAATAAGGTCTCCGTTAAGATCTAAAGTCCCTGTCCTCTTCATGAGCTACCGTGAATCAGCTTAGTGCTTTCAGCCTTAATTATCTAACAAGCTGCGCCTATGGATGATGCTCTTCAGTGTTCTTTGAAGGTACAGGTAGAGTCTTAGTGCTGTTTGTGAGGTGCAGATACTGACAAGGTAATCAGAGTTGTTTTCCAGTCGCAGTGTTTGATGTAAAGCTCTAGCAGCTCTGTGAATTTTGCATTTTTATTAGGGAGCTTAAAAGGGCTGGATATGAGTGCATCCGCAGGGTTATTCCTGTTTGCAGTTCGGTTTACCTTGTTATATGCTATGAGATGGTAGCTGGAACTCCTGGAGGCAAGACAAGTGAACACAGGGAGCACATACAAACTCCAATCAGGTGGCACCCTGGTCTGGACTTGAACCTAGGACACCAGCGCTGCAAGGCAGCAATATTAAGCACTGTGCTACTGAGCCATGCACTTATATACCAATAAATGGAAATAATGCATTTGAACAAAAAATGTTTACCATGTCCAACATATTGCTTGTGCATTATGTTTTCAGTCCCAGGAAGTACAGTCCTGACCATGTTGCCTCTGTGTATTTCTGTAATTCGGTAGCTCCAAATATTCGTGTCCCAACACCAATTGATTCAGATTCACAAGGCGTGTTGAAAGAATGTAGAGCTCTTCTCCCATCCTAGAAATGAGCTGTTATAGAATGCTGGTATAAAGAAATCAGCATTGTCTAAAATCTGCACGTGTAGCCTTTGGCCATCTGAAGTAGCGGATCTATAGTAACATGCACTTGCCATTCTTACTTTATTAGACTGGGGAGGATCATGGAATAGATACAGTAGACGGTTAAAAGGACTGGAATCAAAACACCCACAGTATATGCAGAGGATTGTTTATAGTATCAAGTGGGGAAACCAAACCACAACCACCAGTGTTCTCTCTCAAGCTCTGAAATGCTCCCTTTTTCTGAAGCTCTGGTCATTCACCACCGGCTTTGTTGGGTAGGTCACATCACCTAGACATGGGACACCAGGTTGAAGATGAGTCAAACCCAGGCTTGTAAAATGTACAAAAATGAAAGTCTGCATTAAAGGTGCATTCAGGTTTTTTCCTTAAAAGTTGTAGCAAATAAAAAAAAATGGATATCGCACTAAATGTCAAATGTTTCATATTGGACGTCTCCAAACAGACATTCTGACTGGCTACTGTGTCCTCTGCTAGCAGCCTGTGTTCTTAATGAGCAATGAAATGAAAAGGCCAAGATAGCATATGACTGCACAGTAGGGCTTGCAGTTATTATTGGCGCTATCAAAAGAAAGAATCTGAAGACCAAAATAGTATGGAGATGGAGGGTGATAAAACAGCCAAGACTGCATATTTATGCTTGATTTGTGTTACAATGTGTAACAGGCTCCCTTTTTAACACATAGTCTTGCCTTGAGTGATCAGTTTGGAAAAACAAGTTACCAACAATAGTTCTACACAAGTATTACGACAAAAATAGTCTGTGTTCATACAGTATGTACCGTTCCTATGAGCATTGTTTTTCATTTGAGATTGTGTGTTTGAATGTGCAAAATGCTACTTTTGGAAAAAGTTTGTAGACTTTCTATAGACACTGTATGAATTTGCCTTTGGTAATTCCTGTTTTAATATAGCCCTGCAGAGCTAATGGGGGTTATTTTTGGCATCTGAATCCGTTTCCAGAGAAGTCTCATGGCTTATTAAAACGGATCGGACTTTAAACTAAACCAACAAGTGCCTTCTCTAGCCAGCAAAGCTTTTGTGTGTCAAGCTTGAAGCCCAGGTTGTTGCTCTTACATTACCGCTTCCTGATATAAAATGTATGGCCCAGATACAAAATCTACACTGCAAGCCATAATGATGTCATGATAGTAGTTTCTCCTTCAGTTTCCATACCCCTATTGTATGACGGTGTAAAACCTTACAGGGTTCTTTTTAATTGAAACTCCCACAGGTAGCACCATTGGTTGACATAACAGTCCTCTTGCTTGTTTTCATTTTGTTTCCTGTCCTAGTTGCTCAATTGGGATTGATGTTCTTTAAAAGCTGTAACATTTTGAATTCACTTGATATCTGGTAGAAACTGTAATGTTTTCCGCAGGATCAATGAAATGTTGATAGGACAACTGTGGCATTGATTTTTTTTCAGGCAGTTTTTGTTTTTCCATTTCTTGAGATATAATGTTTTGTTGATGAAATTCAATTCAGGACCAGGTTGTAACGGTCAGATTTCTCCCCTCATAACTAGGAATTTGTGGCAAGAGACATGACGTCTTTTGTTTTATGTACCAGCTGTGGTGGTGAGGGGGGGAAACCTGAATAATTTATTAAGATATCTTGTATATACGGTATCCAGTAGTTACTGGTGTCATTAAAGAACAGGAGCTGCAGCACTGATAACTAGCTTATGGATTTGACCTTTTCCTGGCTCAAGAGCACAGGCTGGATATCCATGGATGTGTCACCCTGGATTCTATGTTCTTGTGCACAACTCATGCCGAGAGTCATCGCTTCCTCTGGGTCATAGATTATTAAGGTCTGTTTGGAGGGTCATTTGTCTTTGGTGAATTGTTGTTCATTAATTCTTTACCTTTTACCAGGTTGTTCAGCAAATGGTTTCAGTTATCACTGGTCATATTTAACAGATATAGGTAGTCTGTATCCCTAACATGAAGTGACTGCTTCAAGTCTGCAGCCCATACATAATTCTGTCATAGTATTGATGTTAGGATGTTCAGTCTCTCTGCTTTGGTTGTAATTGAAATTTTCTTTGCTCTTATCTTCACAGTTCCCTGCTTTTCCATTATACACAGCTCTCTAATCTGGAACCAAGGCTATACATTCACAGCTCGACTATATTTTCACAATTAAAACAACATGGAACAATCAGAAGAAGCTGTCAGCCGTTTATCCCAGTTCTTGTTCTAACCTGGGGAGGATTGAACACAACAAATGATATTATTCTTACATGTCTAAGTATGCAATATACCCAGAAACAAAAGATTAAATTCTCTTCTCTTATATTAATCATTTGATCTGAAATACAATTTTCATTACAACATTCATTAATAAAATTTCACCTCAAAGTCCCAATACTTATGCTTTTCACTGTATCTGGGAAAATTACATTGCCTTTTGTTTTTTTTGTTTTTTTCACATGATAAAGAAAATCATTAAATGCAAATAAATCAAGTACATGTGTTTATTAACCTGTCCATTTCCTGTCCACATTGATAGCTTTTGAATAATTGAGCTACAACAATCTTTCCCATCAACGTTCCTTAAAAATGCTTGTTGGCAAGTATCCTGTTTTTGACAATGTGCACTAATTTGTACTCACAACTTCAAGACATTTTGCACAGTGTTTTATGTAGTGAGTTTGGAAGAATGCTTTGCTATTTTCTGTTATAGCGTGTACTAACTTCTCAAATGAAGGGACCGTGGGCAATTCTGTATGAAACCCCAGACGTTTAAATGAGATATAATTACAAAACAGAGCTTATACATCTTGTTTTCAACACTAGTACTTATTGGTGGAGATCACTAACTTTAATGTTCTGTGTAAATAATTGTTGCATTTTAAAAATAATTCCAATTAAACTGTTCCAGGTCTTCAGAAATACATGAAATTTTAAAGGAAACTGGATGACATCTGTGAAACAGGGGTTCCCAAGACACACGATTGAAGATACCCTTGAATAGTCTCGGTTTTGACTAGTCTCAATCTAATTAGTGTCATATTCTGCCCATTTTTAAAGATTACACCAGTAAATTATTGATGAATCACACAAGTAATATGTTCAATTAAGAGAACTCCGCTTATTGAAACCTGAAAGCTGAAGGCTTAGATTTAAGTCCTAAATGATCTATAAGTTACTGGTTTGGACTGGCGTCCCATCCAGGATATATCCTGTCTTGTGCCTGTTGCTTGTTGGGATAGGCTCCCACTCCTTGTGATTCTAAATAGGAAGAAGATGTTAAAGGGATGGATGGATAGAAGATCTACTGTATAATTAATTAAACAAATCCACTGCTGAATTACTCTCAGTGGAATCGATCCATGTCCTTAGAATTTGGCAATTGTAAAGGTAACCAATGAAACCTGCTGGATCAGGGCTCTGTAGGACCAGGGTTACAAGTAAAGTAATGATTCCCATCTTTAATCTTGAAGAGCTGCATGTACTTTAGACATTTTCATTCTAACCCATAATAATTTAATGGAAACAATTTGTAAGCTAACTGATTTGTATTTTTTTTGGATTTTTCCAAATGCTAATACACAGTATATAAATTAATCTGTTTTATGAAGAAGGGTGCAAGAAGCACAGAAAAGTATAGAGCTCTGGATTGCTGTGTTACAGCATTGCTAATACATTAAAATTAATATACTGCACCTCGTTACAGGCAACTTGGAAGTTAGATTTACTGTATACTCATTCATGCGCAGTCGGGGAGACAGTAGACAAGTTCTTTGCTCTGACAGAAATGCTGCTGACTTAATCCTTCACTCTCAACCGTCCACCATCTGAAGTGAATTCTGTGCGATCTGAGTATTGCCTCGGTGCTTGATTGGAATATACTGTAGATTTAGAAATACTGTATTTTAACATCAGTGATTTTTTTTTCCCTATGTATTTTGTTGAATCTGGAAGAAGTTATATAATTCGGCTCATTCATAGAACAGCTCAAACTGATGCACATAAAACCCAAGTTACAATTTTTGACAGAGACTTTTGTAGAACGGAAAACTTAACTTCCTGGCACTTAAAAAAAAAATGGACTGTTCATTTTAACTGTCGCTGACTTCACAGAGCATTGGTTTGTTTCAATGATGAAAGCTGATGTTAGGTACTGTATATGAAATGTTGCCTATTGGGGACAATGTAATGCATCTCGAAAAATGTTACTACTCATTAAAATGAAACGATCGTTTCTTTCTTGATGACCTTCCAGTAATTTTGACCAGTGACACGTGAAGAGATTTGTAAGGTTCAGGCCTCCACTATTTCCAACTAACTTGCTATTTACAGCCAACCACATTGTTTTGTTCCAGCCAGCGGTATGTCTCTGTGCTGCTTAAATTCTTTCCCATTTAATTATAATGTATAGTTTGGACACTTTAAAGCCAAATGTGATGTTTGCTTCCACCCACATCACGTCTATGGTAACAGCTTGACGTCTGCTATTTCATTTTATTAAATGATTTGTGTAAAACTTTCAACCCTTCTCACTTATGGTTTAAAGTTTTAGTTTTAATGTGTTTTAGGAGTTTCATTTTATTTGAGTTATGTTTGTGTCAACGTCAGGGCTCTGTACACAACGAAGAAATATCTGTGAGTGTATAGCATTATGTGGAGATCAAGAAAAATTCTGCGTTTTTATGATGTTGTGCCTTGTGAGATTCTCCACAGGGCAAGAGCTGTTTTGTAACAAGATGTTTCAGGCTGGTTTGGGAAATGTGTTATGCACTTTAACCTGAAATGTAATGTTGAAGAGCCGTCACCTGCGGAGGCTTTAAGAATTTTTTTTTTGTCAAAATTCTTGCATCTAATGTGGCTGTGCGGTGAAAGAAGGCTTTGAATAACTCCTCATTGCAAGTATACTCCAGTACAAGACAGTGCAGGAAAAGGGTGACTGTATCTTTCAGAGTTAGGAAATGTAACTCTAGCCCATTCAGAGGACACATACTGTAATTGCTCTGTGCGTTAGGGGCTTGACATCTGCAAATTTAACTTCTTAATTTCTTAACATTTGTGGAAATTGCTTATTGACGATTCACGATTCGGTCTAGACAGAAGAGCAGAGTGGGGTGAAACCAGGATGAAAGTTCTTAACCTCTACTGTTAAATTAGCAGCGCAACAGATTCATCTTGCACTCCCAGTCTAGCTAGTGAGTGAATCTGCCCAAGTACCCACTACACCAGCCTCTGCGTCTCAACATGGCCTTTTTTTTATATTTTAATGAGTGCTCCCAGTTCTGTGTTAGTAGCATGGGGAATGACAGGCTAGTGACGAGTTTACGGCCTCACTGACAGTTTTATTGCCCTTTCATTAAAGTGCGGCGTGATAATCACGGAGGCAGAGAGAGAAAGTGAAAGTTGGACACGGAGGAAGGATTCAAATTTGAACTGATTACTATATCTATATCTGATCACTGTTC